TTTTTTAAACAGTTTTACGACTTAAATCACCAAGTGGTAGGCCTATTGGTGAAAGGTCTGGTGTCAATAATACGGCAGCTGTACAATACCATACTATGCACGATGTGATAACTATATATATTTTAAAAAAAAATTTTTAATCAATAATTAAAAAAATTTTACGAAAAAAAAAAAAAAGAAAAAAAAAAGAAAATGACGCAAAAAATACATACGTCCAAGAATACCGCCGACTTTTATAATGGAATTATTAAGTGTGAAATGACCAATTGACAATGCCAAGAAAGTAAATGTTAAAAAGATGAAAGCTGATAAAACTCCGACACTTGTACGCATGCAAGCTAATGTGAAAATGAATGTGACTGAAAAAATAATAATAATAATAAAATCATTATTATTATTCAAATCAGAGTTATTATTAGTTACAATTTGCATAATATGTAATATATATAATACTTACATATGAGCCAGGCGACACAGTATAATCCTAATGCATTATTGTACACCGAATCAGTGCTAGGGTCCCAATGTAAGGTTGAATTGTTAGGGTCTACAATGTTATTGACTGAATAAAAATGATTCTCAAAAGCTTTTTCAATTCCCTAGGAAAAAAATAAACAAGTAAGTAAATAAATGAATTTATTAGAATCCATATGATTTTCTTCATCATAAATACTTACAAATGATGGGATATAAAGAGCACCAAAGGAAGTCCAGAAACCACCAAAAGCAGAAAATCCTGTACCACCAAAGGTGTTTCCAACTCTGAATTCCCACATGCCAGCAGCAAACTATTTTGCAATTTAAAATTAATTAATTAATTAAAAATTACTATTTATGGTAACAGACTAAAAAGGTTATTTTGCATACTTGTACTACACCACCGGTGAACATAGAAACACCAACTACAACATTTGGTACAACGACACCAAGTGATTGCATATTATAAAAGGACACGACCATAACCGATAATGCGAAAGCAGAAAGACCAAGTGGAGTTGGATTACCAAGTTTTGGAGCATGACGTCTTACAACAGTATGACTACGAGGTATAGGTTTTCCTGGTTTACTGGAGATATGATCTGATATGTAATGTTCTTCAGGCATTTTGAATTGCGTGTGTGTGCGTGTGCGTTATATATATGTTATTGAATGCTTTCTCTCTTAACCTTTCTTTGTTATTTAAAAATGGAATGAAAGAGATGAATGTTTAAAGAAACGATTAAATTGTTATAATCTAGCCAAGATGAAAAAAAAGAAAGAGAGAAAGCAATCAACTTTTATTTAAGGAAAAAAAAGAAGATTATTATTTATTATTATTGTTTTTTATTATAATAAAGGAATTTTTGTTTTAGAAATCATTTTCGAGTCTTTATATACAAACGAAAATATTGAGAATCATCTGTTTGGATAATTTAAATCGTCATAACTAATTAAATCAATCATTATGAAGCAACATTTTCATTTTTTTAATTAATTATAGAACACCTGTGTATCTATTGTTCATGTATGGGGAATGTAGATCTTAAATACTTAAACATATAACCCGAGTGTAGTGATGAATATGTATGAAAGAGTATGATTACTGATCGATCATCCATCCACAAATTTTTATTTTACATTTTTGGGAATTACCCCTCCTTTTAATTCAAAAGTAAAAATATTCCCAATGGATCCAAAACTGTCAAGACAATTGTAAAAGATGAGATAGATAACATATGCCGCAAAACAATTACTCTCATTTAACGAATGAGGCTCTAATATCCGTTAGATGAACATTCATTCTATTGATAGATTTGGTTGGTTATTTGAACTGGAAATTTACACGAATCATTGAATTTCAATGGTTTTTTAGGTTTATGTTTTATGATGATGATAAGCCCGAATCGAATGTTTCCGTTAATACTGAATTAAATAATGGTTGGTATGATCTGTCTGTTTTGATGAATTTATTTATTTATTTATTTTGTTGCTTGCTTAACAATAAGAAAAAGAAAAGGAAAAGGAAAAACATCAAAAACTTTCGAAAGAGCAAGATGATTTATTGGTATGTTTGGCTGATCAAGACGCTACTATAAAGAAATATAAAACTAGATTGATCAGTTTAGGAGAAGAGGTTACTGATGATGATGATGATGATGATGAGGTTGATGACGAGGATGACGAGGATGGTGAGGATGGCGAAGAAGAAGAAAAGGAGGATGTGGCGGTGGTGGGTGATGGTGAATTGGAGAAGAATTTTCCATAATCAGGGCCAATTAGAAAAGATCGAGAATAAAAAAGGAAACAAAACCCTACGCCTTCTACTGTAATTTCTACTAAACTTTCAATTCTTTTAATTTAGCTAATTTTCAAGGTGGTTGATGAGTAATATAATGTAACATTTTTATTTATTATCAAAAAAAATCAAAACAACAAAGTTTGATTTTAAAAATCAATTTCTTTATTTGGCACCATAGAGCAGATTTAAAAAATAGTATGTCTAGTAATGGGCATAAAAATTATTTTGAAAAATGACCGAGTTATTAAGTACTTAATAACTCTATTGGTGACTTATTAAGTGTTAAAAACACAAACGTGCAGATCTCTTATTGGTAGCAAAAATTATTTGAATCAAATATTAATTTGATAAACAAGTTAATAATTAATTTAGTTTAAGTGATGACAGTGCATAAAATTCAGTGTCCGCACACTGAATTCTATACACTGGGATTGATTGACAAAATGGATCTTTTGGATTAATAATTCTCAACAGTTAATAAGTGGTTAATAACTTGGAGTTATTAGCAATTTTTCTGACATCTTCAAGCGTACAAGACTTTCCTTTTATAAATTACTCATGTGAGAAATTTGTACCCAAGTCACTTGAGGATAAAACCCAAAGTAAAGCTGATGAAATCATGCAAGACTACATTTCCGTAATTATCAATTTAATTCTTTTTATCAAATAAACATGTTAAATGATTAAAATAATCATTAATTAATAATAATAATTTCTTTAGAATCCATCTATTAGGCATTTCTTATTAACCAATTTG